CTATCAGTCTAATAATGATTCCATAATAAAATGTATGAAATTGTATTTTCATACTAATTTCCAACAAATAATATTGAAATATCTCATTTTTAGCTAAATAAAGGATCCCACAGATTTTCACTAGTAAATACTTGATTCCACTCAGATTCTGTTCCAGAAATTTTGTGAAACTAAATTTTCTGGTTTACTTGAAATTACTTTGATTATAATAAAAATGGAAGGTTTTTAGGAAGTTGAACATATTAAGAACATCTAAAAAGTTATTTGGCAGTTCAAAAGCAATGAAAGCAATTTAAATGCCATAGGTTGGACAAAGTAAACCATAATCTAAAAGATTAACCATAACATACAAAATGTGATCAAAGGGATCTAATTTTATTTTGCCTTCTTGGTGGAATTTAAAAATGGAAAATTTATGTGTTTCAGTAATTAAAACACACACACACAAGAAAGTAGAGAAAGCCACTACTTATATATTGTTTTACACTTTTTAGATGTCTTTTGTTTGGTTCCAATACTATTAAAAAGTAACCATTCTGTGACATTTAGCAAGTAAAACACATTTCAGTTTGTATGCATTCTCAGTTGGACATCAGTGCAAAGTTGCTGTGCTTCAGAGAACTAACCACTCACAGTAAAACTGTGATCATCCATGTGAAGAAACGAAACTTTAAAATGTTTAATGATCGATGAAACACATCGTTTTACTATACAAAGAGCTTAATCCACCAAATTAAATTTAGGGACAGAATTTTTTTATTAAACTGATTGATATTTTTTTGCTCATCTATTGAAATGTACTTTTTCCCCTCCTCCATAAAACACACAGACAAGTTTCCTTTAAGGTTTATATTTTTTCTTCAGTATTCATCCAAACACGTTTAAATAAAAAGTGATAAGAAAAATTTGCTTTTCCCTTTATGTAAATCTAGTTTGGAGAACAAAACCTTAAGTAAAGTCTGAAAGAAAATAAAAATTGAAACCATTATTTAATGATGACTATACAGTAGGTAAGAGGCACAAATTCCCAGGTGAATTTTAATTTTGTTTCCTCTAAGACAAGTCATTCAGAAATGGAAGGCAAATGAGGTTCCTTTAAGTACACAATTTGTAAATGTGAAAACAGTAATAGTTGTCATGATTATTTTATATTGTCTCTTAAGATTGACTCTAAAAGTAGCCTGACAATTCATACAGCTAGCTAAGCAAACCAAACTTTATAAACATGACAAAGTTTTTAAGTTTCTGGCACTGAAATCCTGGGTTTGGATATGGACAAGTATGCTATATTTGATTTAACATCATTTGGGTGCCTTGGCTTTTGATGCTGTATTTTGATGTTCAAGCAGAAAGTACATGACTTAATTTTATGCAATAAGCTGACCTAAGTGTAGAAAACTTACAGAGACGAAGGAAATTCCAAGTCATATGTGTGTACACAAATGGCTTTGTAAAATACATATATACAGCCATTAAAATAGTTATATAGGGACAATGCAATTTAAAATCCTTCATCTCCTACATACAGATTGTCAAATCTAATCCTCTTAGTCTTTTTCAATGATGATATAATTTATTTGCTTAAAAGTAAAACCTCCAGATTGTATTAAGGATATTACACTGTATTAAGGGTAATATACTAACATCAATCTGGAAGGTAAAATAAACATGTAACAAATATTAAGGTCAGATGATTCGAATAGATTCAGCTCTTTGAAATTTTGTTTTATATTTGATAATAAAGTTTTACTTCTGCCCAGGATCATTTTTACTTCAGCGTGAGTATTTCGCTAACTAGAATTTAATTTGTTTAAGTGTTACTTTTATTGACTTTCCAAATTTGGAAGCATTGTGATCCAAAATATATACCTATGCCTTAAAAAAAATGAAAAGTCAAGATAATCAGCAAGGGTGTTGGCTTTTTTTTTTTTTTTTAAAGCAATTTCACTTTCCAATCCATTTTTTTCCCCAGTATTTCACTTTTATCCCTCATAATTTCATAGTAAATTATCCAGATTATGTCTTCTGGACTAACCAGTGATGGAACCTAAATCTCAAACGCTATTTTGAAGAAGTGTAGAGTAAATAATTTTGGTAATCTGTAAAACGGCTGCATGCAGTGTGTACTGTATTACAACAGCACCAAACCCTTTATAAAATCCAAGCACTCCTTCCTCCTGCCTTATGGTATTGATACAGTCTCTCATTCCCTCATACTGTGTATTAATTGGAAGCACTTCATAGCCAAGGTCTGTGTTGTCAATTATTGTGCGTGTTCCTTGAATGTGAAGGCGGTGCAAAACTGTTTCCAGTGGGTAAAGTATAACATCAGAACAAAGACTGGCAGCAAAGTTAGCAATAAGTTCTGGAAAATAAGCATCCAGCATACTCTGTACAGGGCTAGTGCTCTCAGCTAGGTGGCTATTATAAGTCTTTCTCTTTAGAATCAGTAGGACAAACTTCTGAATAACTGAACTAATGATGTAATGAAGAACTCCATGAAGCACCGTAGGGAAGACCAAGGAAAGAAGCGGAAGAAGTCGTTTGCTATGAGGCACTCCCATGCCTATCACTCTTCCAATTCCTTCTTTAACACATTCCAAAATGCCAGCATTATCTCGAATTATCTCACTCTGAAATAAAAAATGATGAAATAAGTAAAACTTAACATTTTCTTCTTTTGCCACACAAAAGGGACTCTTTCTAGTTTTCTTCTAAATCCTACTCTAATGACTAAAGAGGGAAAACACCAATGGTTTTCAGACTGCAACTGTCATCTAGGCATTAGATTTTCCTTTTTTTTTTTAAATGAAATCTCATAAAACAGATAGCAGTGAAGTTGAGAGCTATTCTTGTTGGTGTAGGGAGACCAAGGAGATGTGGAGGTAGACACACCTGGTTTCCCCATCTCAAGAAGCTCCTTAGACTCATTTGGAAAAGCAACAACTCCATGATGCCTAAGGAGGCAGTATAGTGCTTGGAGTTCTTAAACATGGGTTTAAATTCTGCTTCCATTACTTACTGGTTATGTAACCACTGGCAAGTTACTTAACTTCTCCTAAGTATCAGCTTACCATTTAATAAAAATGGAAATTAGTACTACCTACCTTTTGTGCACAGTTGTTGCATTAAATAAAAAAGGCCTGGCACCCAATAGGCACTCAATAAATGTTAATCTTATTATCATTTGCAATGTCTATCTTTTTACAATTTTGGGGATATAAATAAGAAAGTTTGTGATACAGATTATAGAGGTATGGGTAGGGAGAAAAGAAACAGCTAAAAGGCTACTTTTGCTGCAGCAATGATTTATTTGATAAATCTAAAAAATGTTTAGCAGTTAAGGAAGGTAAGTTGAAAAGGTAAAGTGAAGTCATTAAAACCTTGATTTGATACCATGCTGAGAAGTCTAAAATTGATCTTAGGGAATATGAGTCTATATGAATCCTTAATCAGCAAATGGACATAAGCATTGCAACCTAAGAAGAACAATCTTGCATGAGTACGTAGAATGGACTTTTAAAATGCACGAACCAGAACAAGGGTGCTTAATGAAGAAACAGATCGTTAGGAAGTTCCTATTTAAGGGCTTCAGTAGATGTTCTTCAGGAGATCTATTTACAAATGTGTATTTTTCAAGAAAAACAACATTCTCAAAGAGATCTGAGCTCCCCAGAAGGGCAAAGAAGCATCAAGCCAGGAAGAAAGAATATAATGTTAATAAGCTGGGTATATGGTAAAGAAGGTGATAAGAATGGTGGGGAGAAACAGACAAATCTTAGATACTTGAAGTTAGAACTAAGAAGGCATGAGGACTGATTAGTTATGAAGAATGAAAGAAAAGTAAACATCAAAAACTTTCCTAAAACAAAACTTAAAGTTTTAAGCTTTTAGAGTAAAAACAATGGTGCCATTAATTGAAAGGGAAAAGAGGTCCTAAAAGAAGCTAATTTTCAGAGGGATAAGATTGTTTTTATAAGTTGAGTTTGAGGTGAAAGATTTAGTTCGCATAAATATCAGAGTTAAAATGATTCATGTGAGTAAATGAGTCCCTTCAGCAATAGTGAGTACAGCATAAAAAACAGAGAGGGTCAAGGATCGAGACTTAGGGTACAATAAAAGAATGGTATAGTAAAGAGGCTACTGAAAGAAGACAATGTTCAAGAGAGTAGAAATCTAAGAAGGAAAAAAAAAGAGTTCTAGAAAAGCAGACAAAAGGAGTCAAAGTAGAGTTAGCGGGTAGAACCTACAGCAGGAAACACAGGGGTAGCTATTGGATCAAAAAAAAAAAAAAACATACACAGAAAAAATCCCTATCCCATAGTGAGCTGGGCACTTACATAAATAACTCATTTAATTTTTATAGCTCAGTTATTAAAACACTGTTCCCATTTTATGGATGAGAAAATTAAGAAAATTACAAAGGTCAAGAAATTTGTCTAAAGCAGCAGATCTAATTTAAGCAGAGAAATGTGATTCTGATATGAGTCTTCCTTAAGCTAAAACTTGTTTTCCCCCAATAAATCACACAGCTTAGTTGTTTTTCCTTAAGTAACTATTTTCCTCCTCTTTTCTCCTTATCTTTAAACCAAGGATATCTCATAGAGTGATAATTCTGTAAATTCTATAAGTGTCATGAAAAGGTTATATCATTTATTTAACACAGTGCCAAATGCAAAGGGGAAAGGAAAGAATTATTTGGGTCACAAGACGATAACTTCAGTTAACAGAAATTAGTTCCAACAACAACAACAACAAAAATCAAAGTTAATGATGGGTCAGAAAAACTAAAGTAGAAAAGAGTAATTAGAAAAGGCAAGGCTGATCTAGTGGGGTTTTTACAGAGAAGGGGCACTTGCTCATAATGAAGTAAAAATATGAGGGAGGGTCTGATGTTGGAAATAGAAGACAGATGTACAATAGTTCCCCAGCTAAAACTACCCTTACTTTACAGTTTTAAGTGTAGGAAGGGCATGACGCTTAATTCAATGTACTTGAAGCGCCACCATGTGGTTAGGGATAGTAAAACAAGCAAACAAAATTTGAAATGCTAGCTGGAAATTGCTTTAGCTCTGTAGTACTTACCACACTGTTAGTATCAAATGTTCATTAATGTACATATTTAAAAAGAAAGTTGGTAGTAAAATACCTACTGGGACAACCTGCTGCATGTTAAAATGATTGTCTATCATGTTTATGCTCAGGTAATTATTTACTATCCTGTGATAAGATGTAACCATCTGAATTGTACACAGGGCCTTAAAAAGTGAATACAGATTCTTTGTATTCAGAACAAGTCATAGGCTGGGTTCTGAGATATATGAATGAAGAGTATAGTTGCCTATGGAAAGGATAAAAATAATTACAACTAGAAGTGTGACCTAAGTTTGTAATGGAAATATACACACCAGCAATGTGTGATATATGTGTGGTAACTGTGAAAGAAACATTTTAAAAGTACACCGTGTTAAAATTTTCTGCTAAACAATCAGACACACACAATATATTAAATATGCCAAAAAATATATTTAACTAAAAAAAAGGACAATAAAAATACAGCTTACCTGTACTGTTTCAATTAGACTTGCTGAATAAAATGGCATTGCCACTACATAAGTTAGGCTGTAGAAATTAAAACAAATTTATCAGTAGAGTGAAACAAGATACTTATACTAAATTTTTAAAATATTCAAGCCAGAATGATTTTTTTAAGGTTTTCAACTATTAATACCTATAGTCTAAAGATATTAACTTCAGAGATCTGTAACATAGGATGCTTTATTCAACAGAAATGAAAAAAAAATCAAATATTAATAATAACACAAAGGACAGT